AGGCACCTGCCACAATACCCAGCTATTTTTTTTGTTGTTGCAGTTTGGTAGGGGCCAGGTTTGAACCTACCACCCTTGGTATATGGGGCCAGCGCCCTACCCACTGAGCCACAGGTGCTGCCCTAAATTGTGCATTTTAAAAGAACAAATTTGGCCAGGTGTGATAACTCACACCTGTAATCCTAGTGCTTTGGGAGGCTGAGGTGGGAAGATCACTTGAGGCCAGAAAATTGAGACCAGCCTGGACAATATCATGAGACCTCCATTTTTACAAAAAAAAATAAATTTTACCTGGGTATAGTGGTATGCACCTGTATTCTCAGCTACTTGGGAGGCTGAGGCAGGATTGCTTGAGTGCAGGAGTTCAAGGCTGTAGTGAGCTATGATCACACCACTGCACTCCAGCCTGGGTGACAGAGCAAAACTCTGTCTTTTAAAAAAATTGAAAGGAGTTAGGTGCCTGTAGCTCAGTGAGTAGGGCACCAGCAACATACACCAAGGCTGGCAGGTGCGAGCCCAGCCCGGGCCTGCTAAACAATGACAACTGCAACAAAAAAATAGCTGGGTGTTGTGGCAGGCTCCTGTAGTCCCAGTTACTTGCGAGGCTGAGGCAAGAGAATTGCTTAAGCCCATGAGTTTGAGGTTGCAGTGAGCTGTGACGCCATGGCACTCTACCAAGGGTGACATAGCAGGACTGTCTCAAAAAAAAAAAAAAATCCAAAGGAGTAAATCTTATGGTATGTGCATATTTCAATCTACAAAAAAAAAAAAAAAAAAAAAAATCCATAGCAGTTGGCCTGGCAACGGGAAGAGAAATGTCTCAGGCAGGAGAAACAGCTGGAACAAAGGCATAGAAGCCACAGGTTGGAAATGACCAGCCATGACAGAGAGAGCAGGAAGGACACCCCCCAGCTGCCTTTCCCTCCCTCCTGTAGGTACCCTCCCTGGAATCTGCTTCTTCCTCTTCATAGCTCACGCAATGCTCAGCCCCTGCCTCTCACAGCCAACATGCTAAGGCCAGCCTGGGGCAAGTTTCTCTTCTAGTGTCAGAGGTACAAACGTCCCCTCTGTGAACATTCTTCCAGAGCCAGCCCATAAAGAAGGGGCTGATCCCAGATTTCTTCCTTAACATGGAAGGGGGGATATCTTGGAGCAAGTCACGGAGCTTCTCATTTGGGCAGATCAAAAACAGAGCTCTCGAGCTACAGAGATGCAGAGGAACTTTCAGTACAAAGCTTTCAATGCAATGAAAAGGTTATACACTGTATGATTCCAACTATACAGCATTCTGGAAAAGGCAACACTATGGAGACAGTAAAAAGATCAGTGGTTGCCAGCGGACTGAGGGGAGGATGGGATGAAGAGGCAGAGCTCAGGATATTTTGGGCAGTTAAACTATTCTGTGATACTATAGGGGTAGATATATGACAGGATACATTTGTTGAAACTCACAGAAAACTATACAATACCAAAAGTAAACCCTAATGAAAACTCTGTACTTGACCTAATAATAATGTATCAGTTTGGGTTCACCTGTAACAAATGTACCACACTAATGCAAAATGTTAATAATAGAGGAAACATTTGTGCCGAGAGGATATATGGAAGCACTCTATACTTTTCTCTCATTTTCCTGCAAACTTGTAAGTACTCTAAAAATAATAATAATAATAATAAAGTCTAGTTGGGTTTAGGCCCAGCTACTCAGGATCAAGAGGATCCCAAGAGGATCACTTGGGCCATGGAGTTCCCAGCTAGCAAGGCAACACAATGAGACCACCTTTCTCTAGAAAAATAAAATAAAAATAAGGTCTATTACATTAAAAAAAAAAAAAAAACTAACAGATGTCCATCAGAAAGTCTTTAGGAGTATTTTTCTCATCAATCCAGAGGGGAGTTTGTTTTTGTTTTGTTTTGTTTTGTTTTGCAGCTTTTGGCTGGGCTGGGTTTGAACCTGCTATCTCTAGCATATGGGGCTGGTGCTCTACTCCTTTGAGCCACAGGTACTGCCCCTTGTTTTTGTTTTTTGAGACAGGCCTGCTCTGTCACCAAAGCTGGAGTATAGTGGCATTATCATAGCTCACAGCAACCTCAAGCGATCCTCCTGCCTCAGCCTCCCAAGTACCTGAGACTACAGGTGCACACACTACCACACCTAATTTTTCTATTTATTTATTTATCTATCCATCTATTTATTTGAGACAGACTCTCACTCTGCCACCCTCAGTAGAGTGCTGTGGCATCATAGCTTACAGCAATTTCAAATTCTTGGGCTAAAGTGATCCCCTTGCCTCAGCCTCCCAAGTAGCTGGGACTACAGGCACCTACCACAATGCCCAACTTTTCCTTTTATTTTACAGAGTGTCGCTCTTGCTCAGGCTAGTCTCAAACTCCTTCATCTGCTTTGGCCTCCCAGAGTGCTAGGATTACAGGCATGAGCCACCATGCCCAGCCTTCTATTTTTTTTAAAAAGATGAGGTTGTGCTATGTTGCCCAGGCTGGTCTCAAACTCCAAGCTTCAAGCAATGCTTCTGCTTCAGCTTCTAAAAATGCTGGGATTGGCTCGGCGCCTGTGGCTCAAGCGGCTAAGGCGCCAGCCACATACACCTAAGGTGGCGGGTTCGAATCCCCAGCCCGGACCCGCCAAACAACAATGACGGCTGCAACCAAAAGATGGCCGGGCGTTGTGGCGGGCGCCTGTGGTCCCAGCTACTTGGGAGGCTGAGGCAGGAGACTCGCTTGAGCCCAGGAGTTGGAGGTTGCTGTGAGCGTGATGCCATGGCACTCTACCCAGGGGGATAGCTTGAGGCTCCGTCTCAAAAAAATAAAATAAAATAAAATAAAAATAAAAAATAAAAATGCTGGGATTACAAGTGTGAACCATGCAGCCAACAATTCATTTTTTAAATTGTATGCTGTTATGAACATGATGAATTCTCTCCATCCAGCTTCCCTTTTTCCAGTGTATCCATTTGTCTACACTACCCACCAGTTAGTCACTTTAGCCTTCTCAGTTATTAAATTAAAAAAATAATAATAATGTATACAGGAGTTAATACTATCCTTGGTTTCAGATATCCCCTGGGGGTCTCAGCATAAATCCTTCATGGATAAGGAGGAACTACCTTATAGACTCCAGATCTACATGTTCTAGGTTCAAATCCCAGCTCTGATGGCCTTTGGGGCAGGTCCAGCAACTCTCACTGAGAGCACAGCTTGCTGGTACATGGAGGCACATCTTTCTGGACAGCCAGATGTGCCAGAACACACACTCTGATCTGGGCCTTCCTACAGTACCTGCAGGAACCCAAGGGCAGATGGGCCATACCACCTCTGGAATAACTGAAGCCATCACAAGACTGTTATGGGAGGGAAGACTGTAATGGGAGGGTGGTGACAGCACTAACCCACATCCCCTTTCCCAATGGCCTCCCAGTTTAGCGGGTGAGCTGACCTCCCATTTGTGTCTGACGAGTTTTGCAGGCTGAGCTCCTGGTGGGGGCCCATCCTGTCATGTCTCCTGAAACTCTGCAAGGGTTTTGCATCACATGGGGACAGACAATAAACAACTAGGCACCCAGCAGGTGCCAGAAGCTCTGCAGGTTTATTTCTTGAAACCAATTATGAAATAAAACCTCAGTGCTTAGCAAGGTCTGAGACCAGAAGGTCACTCACTACCAACTCCACTGTCCAAGGGGCAGTGATGCCGAGAAAACAGACAAGCAATCTGGGTGGCTGGCCCCAAGAAAGGCTGGCATAGGTGTCTGAGATGAGCAGATAAACCACCAACATGCAGCTCAGGGCCCATAGCACACATACACCAAGGGTGGCGGGTTCAAACCCGGCCCAGACCAGCTAAAACAACAATGACAACTACAACAAAAAATAGCTGGGTGTTATGCTGGGCACCTGTAGTTCCAGCTACTTGGGAGGCTGAGGCAAGAGAATCACTTAAGCCCAAACGTTGGAGGTTGTTGTGAGCTGTGACACCATGGCACTTGCACTCTACCAAGGCCGACATAATGAGACTCTCTCAAAAAAAAAAAAAAAGCCACCAACATGGCTGATGGGGATATGTCTGCATCATCCTGGTGGGATTGTCCAGTATGTCACCACCAACAGCCATCAGTAGCACAGCCATTGGGGACATTTGAGAACCTGAGGCAATCTCAGATTCCATCCTGGGCTGAAGATCTTCCCCAGCCCCACTACTGCTATTGCCATGGGACCCTTAATACCTATGCTAGATGGAGACACCCAAGAGGCCCTTGCCAGGGACAGTGAGCAGTGAGCTAGGCAGCCTCTCTCCCCACTACTTCCCACCCCCAGCAACACAACCTTCATTCAAGGTCTTCTAGCAGGAATCCTCAGAGAAGCCTGAACAGAGATGTCCAGGCAGGGGCCAACAGTGGCAATGTCCAAGTGGTCATATTCAATTCTGGAAGTTTCCAGGGCATTGGGAGAAAAGGTGGGGCCAGGGAAACCCACCAGAAACAAGGAAGTGCAAAAAAAGCCATCAGCCCAGCTTGGTGACATTTCCAATTACCTGAGGGACACTGTCTGATCCCCCTACACATGCAGGCTAGCCAAGAATACCAGCCAGTAGGGTGCAGGGCCTACTTGGAGTTCACAAAGGACCATGACCCCTGCCAGGGCTTGGGCTCCTTAAGGCACAGCCAAGGGGGAAGCAGGGAAACCCCATTCTGGGGCCAGCACCCATTGGGGATGGCCCACAGAGGCTCTCAGGACAGCTGGGTCCTGCAGAGGATGCAGCTCCCAAGAAATGTTTGCTCTGCTCTTGGCAGGAGAGAAGAAAGATGAAGGAAAAGAGGGGAGAGATGAGGCCAGACAAGGACACAGAAGACAGAGGAGCAATGAGGGCACACCGACAGACAAACATACACAGGAGTGCAAAGGAGGAGAGAGAATTGGGGTCCTCTGAAATTCCAGTTTTTTGCCCCCAGGATGGCCAAGTGTGGCTCCACCAGGTGGGTGTGCAAGAGAGATAGCCCCCGGGTAGGGCTGTCCAGCTCAAGCCCACCTCACCCAACAGCTCTGGTTGGGAGTCTCTGGCTGGCAGGAGAGAAGTATTAGAGGGCATAGGCACCCGAGCAGATGCGGCTGTAGACACCCTCGTCCAGGGGCAGGTAGTGGCCCTTCTTCAAGTCCAGGAAGAAGAGCCGGTCTGATGTCTGACGTGGATCAAAAGCCTCACGCTGCAGCCTCGTCTTCTGGATCTTGAAGGTCCCTGGGGTGGAGGTGTGGGTGAGGGGACAAAGGCTGAGCAGGTGGCTTCCAGGAGCTCCCAACTTGCCATTCTTTTTACACCTCTGGGCCTCCCCACAGGCCATCCCCTTGGTGGGAACATTCTTCCCTATTTAGCCTGATTTCCCTCTGTCCTTCGGATCCCAGCTTCAGGCCTCTACCTCCAGAGAGGCCTCCCTGACTACCTCCAGCACAGGGGGAAACTTTGTGTGCTCCTGCCTGGTCATATGTTCATCCCCTATACGACTGAGGCAGCGCTTTGTCTGCCACACAGTGGATTGGATTTCAGTGACCTATGCCTCATAGGTTAATAAAGTTTTATTGGTACACATCTATGCCTATAAGATTCTGTCTCAAAAAAGAATAGAAACTTACCTTCCCAATTTTAGATCACAAAGATATTCTTCTTCATTTTCTTCTACTAACAGTAACCCTTAGCATATTTTTTACAAAACCATTTCATAACAGTTCATGGTGGGGGTTGCAACTTTTTCTTCTTACTTTTTTTTTTTTTTTTTTTTGGAGACAGTTTCACTCTGTTGCCCAAGCTAGAGTGCCAAAGCATCAGCTTAGTTCACAATAACCTAAAGCTCCTGCATTCAAGTGATCTTTCTACCCCAGCCTCTCAGCTGGGATTATAGGAGACCACCACAATGCCTGGCTATTTTTTCTATTTTTAGTCTTAAATTCTTCAACTGAAGGGATTCTCCTGCCTCAGCCTCCCAGAGTGCTAGGATTACAGGCATGAGCCACTGTACCTGAATCCATGGGAAGGTAATTTTTCTTTTTTTTTTTTTTTTTTGAGACAGAGCCTCAAGCCGTCCCCTGGGTAGAGTGCCGTGGCATCACAGCTCACAGCAACCTCCAACTCCTGGGCTCAAGCGAGTCTCCTGCCTCAGCCTCCCAAGTAGCTGGGACCACAGGCGCCCGCCACAACGCCCGGCCATTTTTTGGTTGCAGCCGTCATTGTTGTTTGGCGGGTCCAGGCTGGGGATTCGAACCCGCCACCTTAGGTGTACGTGGCTGGCGCCTTAGCCGGTTGAGCTATAGGAGCCGAGCCGGAAGGTAATTTTTCAAAACAAAACTATAAAAGCATAAACTATAAGGTTAAAGAAAAAAGTATAAATTTTTTTTTTTTTTAATTTTTTAGAGACAGGGTCATTCTATCACCCCAGCTGGTCTGAAACTCTTGGCCTCAAACATTCCTCCCTCCTCCACCTCCCAAGTAGCTGGGATTACAAGCATAAGCCACTGTACCCAGATAGGTAAAGTTGTTTGTATCACTTAAGATTTTTATAACAAAGAGCACCATGGGCAAAGTGAACAGTCAGACTCAATAACAAGAGAAGAGACTTACAATATCTGAAATTGCTAAGGAATTAACACTTAGACTATTATTAGGAACTCCCACCAATCAAAAAGAAAAAGACCCCACACAAGACGGGTGAATAATATGAACAGGCAATTTGCAGAGGATGAAACTCAAGAGGTGCTAGATGATTCACTCAGATTTCCTAGGTATCAGAAAAAATGTAGAAAATGAAAAGATGAAGCAAATATTTCAAGATACTTAGTGTAGGTGGGAGTGAGAAATGGAAATAAATAAAAACATAAATATAACAACAGAAGGACCCTGTGTGAGCCCATATCACCAGCTGGCCATGAGCCATATGTCAAACTCAGAACAGGGTCCTGAACTAGAACAAATAAGTAATGGTTATTTGCCATGGTTTGGATATGGTTTGTTTGTCCCCACTAAACTTACATTGGAATTTGATCCCTAGCATAGGAGGGACTAAGGAACTAAGACATCAACCAACAGACAGGTGGATAGAGAGAGGCAGAGGTGAGGCGCACCTGTGGTGTCCACCTGGGGCAGGAGACGCAAGAATATGGGCCGGGCATAGGGTGCCAGCACCTTCTGCAGCTCCTGGTACACTACGTTGGGGTCCAGCTGGCTGTGTGGGTCTGCAATGGCTGCCATTCCTGCTTTGCCCTCCACTCCTGGAGACAGAGGCTCAGCTGAGAACATCCTACCCCCAGCAACACCCTTAAGCAGCAGCCCATAGTCTCTAGTCCTCCCCCCACCCGGGATAACATTTGCCGAAACAATAAACATTTTATGGAGTTCCTGTAGCCCTTATACAGGGCTGCTTTCAGGATCCCATTTTCTGGGCAAGAAAATCAAAGCTCAACATCACTCACACGAACAGACTTTCCCATGCTCCCACCCAGGCTGCCATATGCAATTGTCTAGGCTGTACACTGCCCAAGAGCACTTGTACCTCAAGCCCCTTCTGGCTGGGCTCCCCTGGGCCTGCCACACTCTAGAACCAACCCCAGCTTGCCTGGCACGGCCACCCCATACACGGCCACATCTGTCTGGCCCAGCAAACGGCTCAGCACACTCTCCACCTCAGTGGTAGAGACATTCTCGCCACGCCAGCGAAAGGTGTCCCCACTGCGGTCCCGGAAGTACATGTAGCCAAGTTCATCCATCACCAGCACATCACCTAGCAGAGAAGAAAAGGAAAGGTAGATGGTGGCTCCCATACTCACAGCCAGCACCAGGGATCTAGTGGGCTGCATACCTGAAAGGTAGGCGCTGTCACCCTTGCGGAAGACACTATAGGCGATCTTCTTGCTGGTGGCGCTCTCACTCACATAGCCATCAAAGCGTCGCAGTGGGTCCTGCTGGTTGATTTGGCCCACGAGCAGGCCAGGCTCCCCTGGGGAAGAGGCCAAGCTCAGGCTGTAGTGGATGGGTAAGGGATGAGGACCACAGCTCCCCAGGGAACCAGGCAGGGGTCATGCTCACCAGTCTGGCATGGGATGCAGAGGCCCTGGGCATCCCGCAGCAGCTCCATAGTGTCTTCATTGACCTTTACCAGTTTGATGGGGTACACATGGGGCAGGATGCGGCTGTTAAAGCCACAGGCACCGACCTGAGATGAGGAGAACTGAGTTAGCAAGGGGCCTGGCAGTGGCATGGGGTCCTCCTCATTGATACTTTGCCTCTCCTGCCCCACAGCTTGATCGTCACATCCCTAGTGACACTATCTGCTGTAATCTTGGATGATCTGCAAAACGGGGATGGTAAGAGCAGTGTACCCTATACCTCAACTCACCCACCCCGACTTTTCCAGCCTCCGTTGCAGCCTCAGGAGACCCGTGGCTGGCTGCCACAACCTGGCCCACAAAACTCTCCACACTGGCAAGAAGTGGATGCCCGGCATCCCTGGAGCCACATGGGACACTGGCAGAATTGCTGCCTGCTGCCCGCTGCCCTGCCTGGTATGGGTCTATGAGTGGAAATCCTTGCTCAACAAGTTTGTGTCACTGCATGCTGTTGAGTGTGTTCATTAAACAGCAACTAGAGCTAGCATAGCCAGAGTGTCTTTGGGGTCCTGCCTATCCAACAAATAAGTACGGTGACAACTGTGCAGTGTTTTTGGCACTTGAGACCCAGCCCATATAACACTTGCTTCATTATGAGCATGATCTATTCCTGCCTTGGGTAGGAGGGGCTTGGGAAGAGAAAGGCAGAGTCACACATGGGCAGAATGGAGGTGATAATAGTGTCAGTCCTTGTTAATCATGGAAGGATCTGGGGACACAGCACACTGAGCTTATGTCGTTGCACAATTAGAACACTTGCAATGAACTGAATGGCTGTCCCCATTTACAGGTGAGGAAACTGAGTCCAAGGAACCTGAGTGACTGGCCCAACAAGAGAGTGGCATCCCAATCCTAGTCCTGGGTCCCCAGAACACTGCTTTATTCATCTACCACCATATGAGCCTGAGCAAGTGAGGCTCAGAAAAGCCGAGGCACTTGTCCAGCCAAGGCTGCAGTGGCTTTGAACACTTGCCAATAAAGAAGGGTGACAGTCATGCGACTATGCTGGGGAAAGTCCCTGAATTGAGCCTCTGAAGGTGGGGTGGGGGGGTTCGGGAACTCCCCCACACCCCACACTGTGCACCCTGGCTGAGTTCTCCGCACTATGGACACCTGGGGCCCTGAGAGGCAGAGGTAGTGACCATTCCTGGACCCAGGTCCTGCCCGTGCATACCTTGCCATCCATGTTGGCAATGCTGCAGTTGCACTCGGTGGCCCCGTAGAACTCGCCAATCTGGCGCACGCCAAAGCGCTGCGTGAACTCCTCCCAGATGGCCGGCCGCAGCCCGTTGCCCACTGCCAGGCGTACAAGGTGCCGCTTCTCAGCCTCCCGCACGGGCTGCTTCAGCAAGTAGCGGCAGATTTCCCCGATGTACTGGACCACCTGCGAGCGCGGGGAGCCGGGATTGGAGGAGAGAGCCAAGACTGCCCCCGGGAAGCTAATCCTATGAGTGAAACCAAACGGCCTGAAGGTGATGACAGCCCACACTTGGGTGACACTATTGACAGTGCTCAGTCCCCACAAAGGACCGAGGACATGGCTTCTATCGGAATGGGTGCAGTGTCCCCCATACTCCTCCATGATCCCTCTGCCCCCACTCCGCTTACTATGGGATAGATACTGCATCACTCCTAGAGCCTCAGCTGGCACACAGGGCAGGAAGATTAGCTGGAGAGTTGAGGCTCCACAGGGCCACCCTCGGTCCAGAGCCTATGCTGTCCCCGAGGCTGCTAACAGCATCACCCCTGGGGTAGACCACTCTTAGGTGCATATATTAGACTGACAGGTCAGCATTGGAACTGAGCCTCAGGAGCCACAGAGTCACTTGCTCACTGGCGCCCCCTGCAGCGAATATTCTCTCTCTGCCTTTCATTCTTACTCTCCACCTGGGCTTCTTGGTGTCATCTGCCAGATGCCCCAAGGTGCCCTTAAGCTCTCATCTCCCTGTGGGCTTCTGAATAATTACCATCCCTGTTTCACAGATGGAGAAACCAAGGCTCACTGGAAGTAATTAATTAGCCCAAGGTCGCACAGCAAGTAAGTGGAAGAATTGGATTGGCACCAGAGTTGGAATGAAGTAATTATGTCCTCAGGAATAACCAACAGATTGATCATCACAGATGCAAAAGTGTTCATAGCTCCCTCTCACATTTCAGGATGAAATCCAAATCTCTGCCTGTGTTCCCTCAATCTGGCCCTTCCTGCCTCCTCTCTCTCTCTCTCTGCACCTAGCTCTGCCTCTTGGGGACTTTAGATGTGCTGTGCCTTTGGCCTAAATTAGACATTTCCCCAGATGTGTGTCTGGGTTCTCAGGTCTTCGTTCAAATGTCAAATCAGCAAAAGACACCCCCTGCATACGGGGCTGAGTCTCTGAGTGAGCACTCACTAAATAGCTAATGAATAAAACCAGCCTGCTGAGCACATACCACCTACCAAGCACTAAGCCCCAGAGAGAGAATGCAGTGTACCCAACACCACCAGCAAGTCACCAACATCAGGACCCTACAAAGAAGAGTAGGCCTTGAGTGTGGTGCAGCCCACCATGTCTCCAGGAAAGAACATGTGACACAGCTAGCCATTCAGCTCAGTCCATCCTCAGCCACTGTAATTTGTTTAAGAATGGACATGTAGGCTCGGTACCTGTGGCTCAAGTGGCTAAGGTGCCAGCCACATACACCCAAGGTGGTAGGTTTGAATCCAGCCCGAGCCCGCCAAACAACAATGACAGCTGCAACCAAAAAATAGCTGGGTATTGTGGTGGGCATCTGTGGTCCCAGCTACTTGGGAGGCGGAGGCAGGAGGCTCACTTGAGCCCAGGAGTTGGAGTTTGCCACAGCACTCTACACAGGGGGACAGCTTGAGGCTCTGTCTCAAAAAAAAAAGAAAAAAAGAATGGACATGTAACCAGAGAGCCAGGCCAATGAGAATCAGCCCTGGGACTCTTTTTCTTTTTGAGATTTTTGAGTGATTCTCTTGCCTCAGCCTCCCAAGTAGCTGGGACTACAGGTGCCCGCCACAACACCCAGCTATTTTTTTTTTGTTGTACTTCTCATTGTTATTTAGCAGACCCAGGCTGGGTTCGAATATGCCAGACCCAGTGTATGTGGCCGGCAACCTAACCACTGAGCTATGGGCACCAAGCCAGCCCTGGGACTTTTGATGGAATGTGGAGAACAGAGATGCTTTTTTCTTTGCTAGAGCTACTGGAGATCCCCTTGGAGGAAGGACAGAGAGGGAAGCTGCCCACTTGAAGAAAAGCCAACAAGAAGGTTGAAAACAAGAAATGGAAGAGACGTGGAGGCCCTCCTAGATCAAACTATGCCTGATGCTGTCATTGCATGGCCTCCTAAGTTTCATTAGCTAATAAATCCCTTTCCTTGAGAAAGCCATAGTTTAGCGTAGGCTTAGGGTTAGGCTTTTGGTTCCTTTCAACTGAAAAAGCCCTCCCTAAATACAGAGCTATACTCCAGACTGTGACTAGGTGCTACAAACAACTCCCTTTGGATCTTCTTTGGATATCAGGCCAGGGAGGGATAACTCAGCTGTGATCAAGGCAGCTGAGGCCAAATCTATGTACTGACAGCAAGTAATTAATCTTTACCTTTAGTCTGGTCCCTCAGATAGACCCAGATCTAAAGGAACACAACACATATCTGCCCAGTAAAGCAGACACCAGGTGCCCCATGCTAGGATTCCTGTGTCAGGGCAACCTTATACTCACAGCGAGTATAAGTGACCCAAGTGGATGTGGGGAGACAAAGGCACTGTACACTTGGTTCCATGAATGACGATGTGTTGAGTTGCTTACCCACCTATCTCTAAGATGCTAAGAAAGCAAGGTTGTAGGTCACAACCTGCTAAAGCCCATAGGAATAGCTGGACATGGCCCCCACTACAAATAAAACAGCAGCCAAGCAGTTTTCTCTTCCCTACAACCATGAGATGGAATTTCTGAACCCAAATAAGTGCGTGCTCTTTTTTTTTCTCATCATTGTAGTTAAACATGACCTTTGGAGATTCTATCTTTTTTTTTTTTTTGCACTTTTTTGGCCAGGGCCAAGTTTGAACATGCCACCTCCGTTATATGGGGCAGGCGCCCTACTCCTTGAGCCACAGGCGCCACCTTGTCCTCTGTTTCTTAAAGAACTCTTCAGTGTTTACCACCTGCCTTATATGAAACAGAAATTCTACCTCTAGGAAACTGATAGAATGAGCTTCTGAGGGCCAAGGGACAGTGAATGATGCCCAATGCAACATGGTTTGTCAAGGACAAAGAGACCATCAGATGTGATGGGCCTCCGAGTGGGAGGACATGGAATCACCCATAAGGTATCTTTGTCAAAATTTTGAACTTGAAGCTGATCAAACACCTAGACCAGTGGTTCTCAACAAGGGGCAATGCTGTACCCCAGTAACACTTAGTAATATCTGGATATCTTTTTTTTGAAAGACAGGATCTCATTCTGTCTCCCAGTGGAGTACAGTGGTGCAATCACAGCTTATTGGGCTCAAGAGATGCTCCTGTCTCAGCTTCCAGAGTAGGTGATACTACAGGGGCCTGCCACCAAGCTCAGCTAAATTTTTGCAGAGTTGGGAGCTCATTATATTGTCCAGGCTGTTTTCAAAATTGTGGCCTCAAGTGATCCTCCTGCCACAGCCTACCAGAATGCAAGGATTACAGGCATGAGCCCCCACACCTGGCCTATGAAAGGATTCTTATAAGACACATCAACCAATCACAATACTAGTTGTCTATTGCTTTTTTCTATAGAAACAAGACCAGAAACATTTTTGCCATGGTAAGACACAAGATTAGGCCACTGCCCAGATTCCTGATGACACTGAGAAATCACTGTCATTTAAAAACACTCTTTACTGGGCACAATATACCACACAGTATATGATTCCATTGATGTGAAGTATCCAGAACAGGAAAATCCATAGAGACAGGAAGTAGATTAGTGGCTGACAGGGTATAAGGGAGGGGAAATGGTAAGTGACTGCTAATGGGAATGGGGTTTCCTTTGGGAGGATAAGAATGTTCTGGAATTACACGGAGGTGGTGATTATATAACACTTAATGCCACTGTTTGCTTTAACATAACTAATTTATGTGAATTTCACCTCAACTTAACAAAAAAGGTCTCCTTTTTCAGAGATTTTAGTGAATCATCTACACAGGAAACACTGTAGTATGAGGGCTGCTTACTAGTGAAGCAAAGGAACGGATGTGGGTAAGCGTGCAGAGGTAGGACGTGGAGTAGGATGGGCCCTGGGACTGGCCTATGGGTGCACCACAACTCCCTATACTTTTCTGCCCACAAGAATGCAGAAACTCTCAATATTATTTTCAACTCTCAATAATTCCTTTTTTAAAAAGACACTGTTTCACATTTCAAGAGGCACATTATCAATTTCTCCCAAGATCCCTCAAGCAGAATGTAAAATCCTCAAAAGTAGAGCAAAACACAATTGTCATTGATCTTGAGGAGTCCCTAGAGCCTCCACCCCTGCCCAGATGTGTGAACTGTACAAGTGGCTGAACTCCCTGAGGCCCACTTGTTCCAGGTGAGGTAACACCTACTAATTTGCCACAGTCCCCGCACAAACCCTGCCCTCTCTTCTCCTTACCCAGCTGGTCATGCTCCTCCCTGGGGGCTCAGCATCTCCTAGGGCAAGGTGCTCCCACCTGAGTCTCCTCAATCTCTCCTATCACAGCACTCAAATCCTCAGCCTGATTTCCTCTCATTGTGGAGGGGAAAAGAGAATTGCTGCCTTCTCTGAACACACACCTGCCCTCCTCTCTGGGACAGCAGATGAACCCACCTCTGCCTCATGCTTACCTAAACCCAGAAGCCCCAGTCTTGTAACCCTCTACATCCCAGGGAGCAGATCCCACCCACTGGTCTCATTTCCCTGCAGGCACCAGCAGGGAAGACCCACGGGGCACGGGGTATGGAAAAGGCAGAGCCTTAAGGCACCCTGGGTCCAACCCCAGCAACATTACAACTCTCAGTTTCTCTACCTGCGAAATGGGTGTGATGCCTTCACCCACTCCCAAGCAGTTTATAAGGACTGCAGTGAGTTTACACGTGGAGGGTCTGGCCCTGGACTGGACATAGATCAAGTACCCAAGAAACACTGGCTGCGCTCTCTGTCCTCATCCTAGGCGGCCATTCAGGACATCCCCAGGGAGAGGGGGGCAGGCTGCACTATAATCATGGACCAATAGGCAGTGGGAGGGCGTGGCCTGATAGGAAGGGCCGGGCCTGACCGTGCAGTTGTACTTGACGCAGTCATCCCAGAAGCGGCTGGCTGAAAATTTCTTGCGGAGGACGACGGTCAACCCGTAGAGGAGACACTGTCCCACACCCATGATGTTCCCTGCAGAGGGTGGGCTCAGTGAGGTGTTCCCGATATTCCCCACCCCCCGCCCCCAGGCAGCTGCGTGGTACCTGCCGAGTGGTACAGAGGCAGGCAGTCGTAGAGCACATCAGTCGCCTGCATGCGGTAGGCATGGTGGCCGAAGGCGGCAATGCGGTAGTACCTGTGGGCCGGGAGGGCGGGGGCTGGGACCTAAATCCCCCAGAAGTATGGGGGTGGGTAAAGGTGCTGGGTGCAGACCCAGGCAGAGCCAGCCTGGTTCACACAGGACTCACAGGCGGGTCAGAGAGGGAACATGTCGCAAATAAAGAAAATAACAGTGCTAGGTGCCAAGACGGAGGTAACAGGGTGAATGGGCAGAGAAGAACTGAAGGTGACGCAGGGAGATTGGGGGTTCCTGTCTGCGGAAGCGAAGCATGATCTCAGACCTAACCAGAAGGAGCTTATGCGGGTGTACTCCATAAGGGTGCCCAGGCAGAGGGCACAGCATATGCAAAAGCCCTGATGCTGGGAGGGGCATGCCATTCCAGAAAGTCTGAAAGGCTAAAGAAGAGTAAGTGAGGGGTGAAGGGGAGAAAACAACATCAGGAAGTGGCACAAACTGGGAATGGGTTTTATTCTGAGGACTCAGGCAGGTGCAGGGAAGTCTTGGGCAGAGGAGGTCTGATTTATGATTTTTTTTTTCTTTTTGAGACAGCCTCAAGCTGTCGCTCTGGGTAGAGTGCCGTGGCATCACAGCTCATAGCAACCTCCAACTCCTGGGCTCAAGCGATTCTCCTGCCTCCGCCTCCCAAGTAGCTGGGACTACAGGCACCTGCCAACAACACCCAGCTATTTTTTGGTTGCAGCCATCATTGTTGTTTGGCGGCCCAGGCTGGATTCCAACCTGCCAGCTCAGGTGTATGTGGCTGGCGTCTTAGCCACTTGAGTCACAGGCACCAAGTCTGGATTTTTGTTTTTAGAGACAGTGTCTTGCTCTGTCACCCAGACTGGAGTCCAGTGGCACAACCATTGCTTACTGTAACCTCAAACCCTTGAGCTCAAGTGATCTTCCCATCTCAGTTTCCAAGTAGCTGGGACTACAGGTGTGAACCATCACACCTGACTAATATTGGGGGTTTTATTTTTGGTTTTTATAGAGGCAAGTTCTCAGTACATTGCTCAGGCTGGTGTCAAACTCCAAGCCTCCCATCTTGGCCTCTAAAGTGCTAGGATTACAGGTGTGAGCCACTACACCCAGCCTGATTTAGGATTTTAACCCCTCCTGTGGCTGCTGAAGGGAGCTGGACCACTAGGCGCACGAGCAGGGGAGCAGGAGCCCCAGGAATGGCTGGGGGAGGTCGAGGAGTGGGGCATGGAGAAAATTGGACAAACTGAGGTGACAGGTCCCACTGATGGGCTAGATATGGGAGAGAAGTAGGGTGGGAACAGAGGGGCCCCAGAGTGTTGGACACAGGGCAACAGCATCCTGAGATGGGCTGTGAGTTTCACCAGGTTGGGGTCTGAGATGTCCACAAGACCATACAGGAGCTGGGGGACAGGTTGGGTTGTTGAGACATCCTGGGTCACTCTTGGGGGCTGGGGGCCATGCCCATGGGCCCCTCACCTGCTATGCACGACAATGGCAGCTTTGGGCAGCCCCGTGGTCCCCGACGTATAGATGTAGAAGAGCCGATCTGCAGGAGATGTGGGCGTTGGGGATAGGGGCTGGGTGGGTAGAGAATCGGGCAGTAGGGCAGGCATGGAAGGGTCCTACTAGGACTCACCATCCATGCCCTTGCTGGGGGGCTGTGCAAGGGGGGACGTGGAGGCTTCCTTCAGCATTGGGTCCAGGAGGTGTGTATCCGGCAAGATGTTCTCCGGCCCCAAGTCTCCAGAGCAGAACTTAAGGAGGCTCTTTCCCAGCTGTCCACTGACCTCAGCCACAGCTGAGGTCCAACGTGGGTGTCAATGCCACAGCTTGATAGGCTCCCTGCCAAGGCCTGGGATGCACCACTTCCCTGTCCCAGGGCAGCCCCAGACCATGCAACTCATGGCCACATACAGGCCCCCCTTCCCTTTCTAGGCCCCGAGGAGGAGCATCTCACCACCGAGGGCAGCCCCAGGTCCCCTACCCGCCTTCCACCCACGTGCACCTGGCCTCACCCGCTGCCATTTCTCCACCAAAGATCAAGGCCTTGGCTCCTGATGTGCCCAGGCAGAAGGCCAGGGGTTCACGTCGCAGGTTAACATTGAGCAGTGCAGCCTCCACGCCTGCCTTGGCCAGGCCCAGCCACAGCCCCACAAACTCGGGCCGGCCCTCCAGGAAGATCGCCACTACATCTCCCGGTACGAAGCCCAGCTGGAGGAAGAGGTTGGCCACAGCATTGGAGTAGGTATTCAACTGTGCAAAGGTCCAGGACACACCACTGCTGGCATCCACCAGGGCCAGGCGCTCTGGCTGCCCCTGTGCCACTGCCTGGAAGATGTGTGGGATGGTGTGGCCAGAACGCTGATGCCATCGCAGCTCCAGGCGTACACGAATCAATACAGAGAGGCCACTGGGAGGAAGGACAAAGGACATAGTGTCACTGGCAGCCTCTGCAGCATTGCATCTGGAGACTGGCTTCCCTAAGCCTCAGGGTTCCCATCTGGAGGATCCCAGAGCAGCCTGGAGGTTTGATGAGATTTCCAGTTAACACTTTTGGTGGCCAGACCTCTCAGGGAACCAAGAGCAGGGGCCATTTGTCAAACGGCCTGGAAGTGGATGGAATTCTTAAACTGAGCAGAATTCTCAAACTGGCCTAGACATAGTGATGCACAATAGTCACCCTGTCCTCCCCTACCTCAGCTAGCTTGGTGGCCCTGGGGGAGCTGGGGTCCAATCTCATCCTTTCTTTTTTCTCTTCTAGAACATCCCAAACACCTGACACTGCACCCTCCTCTACCTGACAGCCTCCGGCCTCTCATGCTCAGACTACTCCAATTGGGTCCCCAGGGTCCAGCCCTGGGGTGAGCAGCTGCTGCAGCCCAAGTCACTTAATGATACAAGGCACAGATGACTGAAGCATCCAGCAATTGGGGAGAAGAGTGGCCCCTGTTCCAGGTAGGGCCAGAAGGTATTCTAGTTGATGCAGAGTTCAAGGACAAATCCCAGGCCTTGGTAGAAGGTTCAAAGTTCCCCCTCCCTACCCACTAGTGGATATAAAGGACAGAGGTCCCAGGGAACAGCAAAGCCCCCAATGGAAAGAACCACATTCCTGAATGACTGTGTGGAAGTGAGCAGCCAACCCTCATTGCAGGCTGTTAGAGGAATGAGAAATGAACCCCCAAAACAGACAAGCATTCTCCAGTTTGCCCTTTGGGAAACAAACATCACGGAATGCGGAAATCCAGAATTTCTCTCTTGGTTCAGAAGATGGACTGTTCTCCCTGGCTCCTCCTGGCTCCTTGTCCACCACCCTGACCTCTACCTCTGAGAATTAACCTTGTGCAGGCATAAGCCACTGGCAAGCAGGGCTTGTTTGTTATAGAGCTTGCCTTGGGCCTGTTTTAACTGACATGGGATGGGTCTACACTCTGCCTGCTCCTGCTTCAGCCTGGTCTGGCCACCACCTCCCACCAGCTCTGGCATCAAAACCATTATCAAATCCATCCTGTGTACTCTATTGCCTCTCCCAGCCTCCCAGCCTCCCTGAAATGGCTTCTGCACACCCCTGGACTAAACGTGTGCACAGTGAACCTCAGCACAGACATACATGCATTCATTCAGTCATTCATCATTCATTCCTTCCCTCCCTTATTCCCTTCCTTCATCATTTATTCCCTTCTCATTCATTTCTTCCTTCATTCAGTCCCTCCTTCTTTTCACTCATTTCCTCATTCATTCCTCTTTCATTTATTCACTTCTTCCTGCCTTCACTCATCCCCTAATTCATTCATTCATTCCCTCCTTCCTTTATTCATCCCCACAGCCATTCCTCCATTCCTCCCCTCTTTCATTCATTCTCTCCATCAAACATTCCCTCCTTCATCACTCCCTCAATCATTTTATCCCTCATTCATCATTCTCTCCCCCCTTCCTTCTCCTCTTCCTCCCTTCCTTCCTTCTTTCCTTCTCTCCTTTATTAATTCAGGCTACCAGTGTCTGCTGTGTGCCAAACACCTTCTCAGCTCTGGGAACAGACCATTGAACAAAGACCACCAAGCTACACCTCCAGATATTCACAGTCCTGTGGGGACAGAGGCCCCCCCTCCATGTATATGAATGATTACCAGATACTGCTGAAGGGTGACCAGGCTGCAAGGGGCGACATGGGCAGAGTGACATGTACCAAGGCAGGGGTGGGTGAGGGCCTTGAAAGAGAGGCCGGTGGCACCTGAGCAGGTCCTGCTGAGGGGAGAAGGAGCAAGCTGTGGGTAAAGCCAGAGAACAGCTAGTACAAAGGCCCCGAGGTGGGAACAGGGCTGGGGAATGAGGCACATTTGAGGATCAGAGGGGAGGCTGACCCTGCCAGCTCCATGGGCCACAGAAGAGGGTTATGATGGAATCCCTGGAGACAGGAGGCTGGTGGGGACCTGTGGGTGAAGAATACCTGCAGTTGTCAAAAACAAGGGTTCAGGATTCTGGTAAAATATATGAGATTTCCTACTTGGGTCAAACACTTCCCTGGAAGCCCCTGAAGGGCTTCTCCAGCTGCCCTGGGGATAGGACCAGGGTGCTGAAGTTCTTGTGACTCAATTCCAGCAGCCTCCCCTCCACACACACCACCCACCGGCCCCCATTCACCTGCCCACTCACTGGGTTCTTCTCAGCACATTCCCAGCTGCCTCCAGGAAACCCACCAGGTACCTGCAGGAGGTGGATGCACAGCACCTACTGCTGACCTATCACAGCACAGATTTCCTCAAAAGGAGCCAGCGTTAGTCATCTGAGCACAGGCTGGGCTCAGGGAATGTTCTCTTATCCACCCTGGAAGCCAGTCATTTACCAAGCCTCTGTGTGAAGCCACCAGTCATGGATCCATTCCCTCATGGATTAGAAATACCCCAAAGATGCTGCATTCTGTGTCAGCTGAGGAGCCTGGTGCCTAGGGGTGCTCAGGAAATAGAGGCTAGACTACTATGTTCATGCCCCTGGACCCAGAATCCAGGGCACCGGCCCTCCCTGGCAGTCAGATACAGACACATGAGCTCTTTCACTGACTCCTGAAATGGTGAGCATCTACTTAGCACCAGGCCCACTTGGGGTGAGACCCCGTGGTGACAGAGATAGAGCCTCCTCCCCCTCCATCCTCTTCCTTCCATCTTCCACTCCTTCCCCTCCTCATTCACCCACTGGAGTCATACTCACCTCTTCACTGTCCCTCCGATACCCCAGTGTGTTCCTCCTCAGGACTTTGGCACACACTATGCTGGCTGCCTGGAAGGTTCTTCCTCAACATCCATACAGCTCCTTTCCCAGGTCTTGGTTCAAGTGTCACCTTAGGTGGCCATTCCTGGACCAACTTCTATGCTCTCCTCCACCATCCTTGGTTTATTTTTTTCTCCATAGTACTTATGGCCTTCCAATGCCAAGTGTAATATATTCATTTATGATCTTATCCTTGGCTTGTTTCTCCCTGCTCTGGGCAGACAGAGACTTGCACCTGTTATATTCTAGCTCCAGAGAGACAGCAGCAGAGGAAACAGCCCAAGATCCCGCCCTCCTAGAGCACAGAGCACCTGCCACAAATAATCCCATGAGGGAAGAAAGGTATTGGGGCTCTCAGGTCAGGCCTGAGTCCTGCAGCCTGAAGGAGGGAGCAGCCACCCCTGGTGCCAGCCTGATCTTTCATGAGGGTAGGGACACCCGCACATCAGCAGGGTCTTGGGGAAAAGCCATTCTGCAGGCTCGGTGCCTGTGGCTCAAGCGGCTAAGGCGCCAGCCACATATACCTAAGGTGGTGGGTTCGAATCCCCAGCCCGGGCCGCCAAACAACAATGATGGCTGCAAATAAAAAATGGTCGGGCATTGTGGTGGGCACCTGTGGTCCCAGGTACTTGGGAGGCTGAGGCAGGAGACTCGCTTGAGCCCAGGAGTTGGAGGTTGCTATGAGCTGTGATGCCACGGCACTCTGCCCAGGGGGATAGCTTGAGGCTCTGTCTCAAAAAAAAAAAAAAGAAAAGAAAAGAAAAGCCACTCTGCAGAGGGGCCAGCCATAGGGATGGAGGCAGGGACAGAGAGGCAAAGCCTGCGGCCCTGGGCATGGGAAGACCTGCTCTGTTGCTCTCAGATCAGCTGACCAGTTAGCTCCTTGGTAAATGAATATCTCCCATACATGAGTTCCTTGCTCAAGGGGAGAACTTTTGAAAATGTAAATCAGATTAAACCTCCACATAAAAACAATCTCAAAACTACTCTGCACTATAGGGATGGAGCCTGATCAAAGAAGTCTCAGAAAGGTGAAACCAAGGACTTGGTATGGTACCAGCCATTTGGGAGGTCAAGGCAGGAGGATCACGTGAGCCTAGAAATTTAAGTCCAGCTTGGGCAACACAGGGAGACCTTGTCTCTAAAAAAAATTAAAAATATAAAGAAAGGTGCCCTTGTCTACTGCCTATTCTACTGTCCCTGCATTGGCTGCCAGCTGGGTTATGAGCACACAGGGGAGTGAAATCCCTCAGATCTCAACAGGAGCCTGGTACATAATAGGTGCTCAGTAAACAGAGGGCAGTATAGAGGCACAGCTCCCTTCATTAATCCCACACACAGTGAACACCTACTGTGTACAGGCAAACCTGATCTGGTGTGAGGTATAAGAACAGCTGACACCCAGGACCCATGGGAGAGGAAGGAGAGATACTGCCAGCACCAGGGGACTTTTGGGGAGATGGGATGCTTTATATCCTGACTGTGGTGTTTTCCTGGGTATAGACCACTGGGGGAAAAAAACCCCAATTGGACATTAAGAATGGGTGCATTTATTATATGTAAATTACAGTACAAAAACAACCCTGAAGAGTTTCAGTTTTACAAGATGAAAAGAGTTCTGCAGGCCTAGCACAGTGCCTTACCCCTGCAATTCCAGCTCTTTGGGAGACCAAGGAGGGAGGATCACTTGAGGGCAGGTATTTGAGACCAGTCTGGCAATAACGAGACATCACCTCTACAAAAAGTAAAAAATCTTAGCCAAGCATGGTGCTATACACCTGTAGTCCCAGCTACTCAGGCGACTGAGACAGGAGGATAGCTTCAGCCTAGGAGTTTGAAGCTGCAGTGAGATATGACACCACTGCATTCCAGTGTGGGTGACACCCGACTCTAAAAAAAAAATCCCCCCCAAATCCCCCAACATTCTGGAACTAGAGAGTGGTGATGGTTGCACAACACTGTGAATGTATTTTACGTCACCAATGGCAAATTTTATGCGATGTGTACCTTACTACCATACAGAATGAATGAACAAAGCCCCTGAAAACCAGGTTATGGCAATAATGGAGTCTAGAGCTGTCCAGAAATGCACCCTGGAATATTAACAGATGAAAGGATGTGCCACTGGGTTTCAGAGGGAGGCGGAAG